CACAGCACGCACGCCACGCCCCCCCACGCACGCCATAGGCCGCCCCAGGGCCCAAGGCCCGCCCTCAGGCAAGGACGGGCGAATGAGCAGCCGCGCGGCTGCGGGAAGCCACGCCCACACGCACAGCGAGGCCACGCCCACCCACGCAACGTGCGCTCCCCTCCAAGCCACGCCCACAAAGCGCCCAGGCAGGCTCGGCAAACCACGCCCCCTCACGCTGGCCATTGGGTGAAGCTGCAGCTCCGCCCCCAGCAAAGACAGACCAGGTCTATTTGCATAGCCACGCCCACGTTGGCAAACTGGAACTCACCATGAGCGTGATAGGACTCAGGCAGGAACACAGAGCTCTGGGAAGCCACGCCCACCAAGGTTAAACAAGGCTTCGATAGCCACGCCCACTTACGATAGTGATTGGCTGAAGCTGCAGCTCCGCCCCCAGCAAAGACAGACGAGGTCTATTTGCATAGCCACGCCCACCTGGCAAACTGGAACTCACCATGAGCGATATAGGAGTCGGTCAGAGCCACTAGGCTACAGGAAGCCACGCCCACCAATGCCCAGATGGGGTTTACAGACCACGCCCCTCATCCTGCTGATTGGCTGAGAATTCGGCTACGCCCCTACTAATGACAGCCCAGGTTTATTTGCATAACCACGCCCACTCGGGCTTCCTGCTCACCATAAGCGAGACAGGACTCGCTGGGAGCCTTGTACTTTCCCATGTGAACTGCCTCAGTTTCTCCAAGGTGAAACCTTTAACTATTCCTGTTTTCCCTCCGAAGTCGGAGGCGATAAAATCAAGACAATTCTCCTTGGGAGCAAAGTTCCACCCTAAGTTAAACCTGATTGGCTGTCTAAAAGCAGAAGTCCCGCCCTCTGGGTAGGACAGGCCAATCACAAGCCACGCTGCTGTGTGAAGCCACGCCCACACGCGGGCCTGACGCTCCCCTGCAAGCCACGCCCACATAGTCCCACGCAGGCTCCCTTAGCCACGCCCCCTCGCGCTGTGATTGGTTGTAGCTGCAGCTCCGCCCCCCCAGGGAGGCCAGACCAGGTTCATTTGCATAACCACGCCCACCACGGCGACTGCAGCGTCTCCTGCTCACCGTAAGCGATCCAGGAGTCGCTGGGCGCCTGGAACTTTCTCCCCCGAGCTCGTTTCACTCCAGTCTGGGGTTTCCCAGCTTCGGGACCCACTGGGCCATCCCGGAAGTGCCTTCTCGGGTGCAAACCGAAACCGGAAGTGGGTTTCATCCTGTAAGTTCTGCGCATGCGCAGTTGAAAAAAAAAGACTCCAACCGGAAGTCCTGCCCTGGGAGGGGGCGGGGCGTGCAGGCAGACGGAAGACGAGACGTGCAACGGGCGAGGGGACGCGCGCATGGGCAGAAGAGCCATCCAGGCGATCCGGAAGTCCCGCCCTCCGCTGGAAACCGACGAGCTGGTGACCTTGGGGCGGTAAATGAGCGGGAAAACGGGATTCTGGGAACTTGGGGGGGGGCACAAGAGGCGTGTGCGCATGCGCGGGGGGAGGCTAGACCGATACCGGAAGTCCCGCCTTCGGGGGACGACACTGAGCCAGGAGGGGCAAGCCTCGGTGTGTGCGCATGCGCGGGGTGCCTCTTTCCCTGAACCGGAAGGGGCGTCCTCAGGGATGGGCGGGGGAGCGCAGGGCGGAAGTCCCGCCTGGAAGACTCCACAGTGGGGCTTTGGCGGGGAAGGGAGGCCGCGCGCGGGTGGAGTGCGCCTGCGCAGTGGCGAGGCCGGGGAAACGGGCGTTGCCAGGGCAACCCAAGGCGAGGGGGCGTGGCCTAGAAGGGCCTGGAGCGCGCTGATTGGCGTTGCCAGGGTAACCAAGGAAAGGGGCGTGGCCTGGGCGGGCAGGGAGGGCCTGGACGGCGCTGATTGGCGTTGCCAGGGCAACCAGGGAAGGGGGCGTGGCCTGGGCGGGCAGGGA